GTAGGTTTTTACCTTGCTCCTTTGTAACATATTTTTTTGTTTTGATGGGTAGAGCTGTGTTCTTGTCTTGTTGGTTGTTTGGCCTGAGGTGTCCAGCACTGGAGTTTGCAGGCAGTGGGATAGAGCTGCGTCTTGGTGCTGAGATGAGGACCTCCAGGAGACCTCATTCCAATTAATATTCCCTGGGGTCTGACTTTTTTTGTAGTCCACCAATTTGGACTTCTTGCTCCCACCAGAGGAGCTCTGGCCTGTCCCCCAGCCTGGGAACCAAGACCCACAAGTCATGCAGCACTGCAAAAAAAAAAAAATAACAATGAAAAAGGAGCAGAAAAATAACATAGAATAAAAAATAAATTAAATTAGAGAAATAAAATATATATTAGAAAAAAATAAAAATGAATGAACAACAAAGCAAACAAGAACAAAGGAAAATAGAACCACAACAGAAAAAAAAAAAAAAGCCAGAAAAAGCCTTGATGGGGGGAGTTGGTGGGGGCGGGCTTAGGCTCAGGACCTGCGTGGGTTGATGGGTCCCCAGAGGGCAGAGGTTCAGGCCCAGGACCTCAGCAGTCTGGCCGGGGCCTGAGCTGGCATGGGAAATGCTGGCCACATTCCCCTCCAATCCCCCAATCTCCCCAAAGTCTCTCTCTTTCCCAGCTGATTCCCTTGCTGTGAGTTGGAACCCCTCCTCTTCCCCAGCTGCCCCTCAGTGGCACCAGTCCCATCCTGCCTCCACTTTTCCTTACCTCCTCCTTCCCCCAACATCCCACCCAGTTGCGTGGGGATTACTCCCATCAATTTAGGTCTCCGACGTCCCCCACCAGTGCCTCGTAGGTGCCCTGGTTGTCGATACCATGCTGTTTTGATTACTGTTTTAATTATAATAAGTCTTTAAATCATGTAGTTATCCCTCCAACTTTTTCTTCTTTTTTTAGAGGTGTTTTAACTATTCTTGGTCTTTTGCATTTCCATCTGAATTTTAGAATCACCTTATCAATTTTTATAAAAAAGCCTACTGGAATTTTGATTGGGATTGCATTGAAACTATAGATCAATTTAGGGAGAATTAATATCAGAACAGTAGTATGTCTCTCAACCCATGAGCAAGGTATGTGTCTCTTTTTATTTCAGTCATCCTTAATTCCACTTAGCAATATTTTGTAGTTGCTTATGTACAGGTTTTTCACATCTTTTATCAGATTTATCCCTAAGTATTTCATATTTTTATGCTGTTGCAAATGGCAATTTTTGAACATTTCAGTTTCCAATTGTTTTTTGTTTTTTTCTTATCCTAAACAGAAGGAAGGCAAACATTATGGCACTTTTTAAAAAAATTTTATTTTATTTATTTTTTATACAGCAGGTTTTATTAGTCATCAGTTTTATACACATCAGTGTATACATGTCAATCCCAGTTGCCCAATTCATCACATCACCATCCCCACCCACCCGCGGCTTTCCCCCTTGGTGTCCCTACATTTGTTCTCTACCTCTGTGTCTCAACTTCTGCCCTTCCAATTGTTTTTGATAGTATATAGAAAGACTTTTCTTTTTGTTTTGCCTTTTAAAAAATTTTTATTTTATTGTGGTAAGAACACTTAAAAATTATGAAATCTACCCTCATAAATTTTTAAGTGTGTAATACAGTACTGTTAACTATAGGTACAGCAGATCTCTAGAACTTATCCATCTTGCATAGTTAAGACTTTATGCCCATTGATTAGCAACTCTTCATTTCCTTCCTTCCTCCAACCCCTGGCAACCACCACTCTATGTTTCTATGAGTTTGATTGTACCTCATATAAATAGAATTACACAGTATTTGTCCTAATGTGACTGACTTATTTCACTTAGGATAATGTCCTTCAGGTTCATCCATGTTGTCATATTTTGCAGGATTTCATTCTTTTTTAAGGCTGTATGTATATACTACATTTTCTTTATCCATTTATACACTGGTGGATGTTTAGTTTTTTTACACATTTTAGCTATTGTGAATAGTGCTGTACTGAACATTGGAGTGCTAATGTGTCTTTGAGATCTTGTTTTTATTTCTTTTGGATAAATACCCATAGTGGGATTGCTGAATCATATGGTAGTTCTAATTTTAATTTTTTGAGGAATCTCAATACTGTTTTCCATAGGAGCTGCACCACTTTGCATTTCCACCAACAGTGTACAAGGGTTCCATTTTCTCTGTATCCTCTTCTGTGTTGTTGTTGTTGTTGAAAATAGTCATTCTAACTGGTGTGAGGTTATATCTCATTATGGTTTTTATTTACGATTCCCTAAGTGTTAGAGATGTTGAACATCTTTTCCTATGCCTATTGGCCATTTATGTGTCTTCTTTGGAGAAATGTCTATTCAAGTCTTTAGCCCATTTTTAAGTTGGGTTATTAGTTTTTTTGCCATTGAGTTGTAGCTTTTATATTTTGGAAATTGACCTCTTATGGTTTGTAAATATTTTTTCCATTCTGTATGTTGCCTTATCACTCTGTTGATTGTTTCCTTTGCTGTGCAGAAAGTTTTTAGTTTGATATAGTCCCACTTGTCTAATTTTGCTTTTTTTATCTATGCTTTTGGTGTCATATTCATGAAATAATTACAAAGACTAATGTCATGAAACATTTTTTCTGTTTTCTTCTAGGAGTTAACAGTACCAGAAGACAATTTTTTTTTGTACATTGTTCTTATATCCTGCAATTTTATTAAACTCACTTAATTTTTGTACTAGTTTATTTAAAATTCCACAGGATTTTCTACATAGATGATCATGTTCTCTGTGTGTCTTAGTCAATTCGAGCTGCTATAACATAATACCACAAACTAGATGTATTATAAACAACAGAAATTTATTTCTCACAGTTCTGGAAGCTTTAAACCTGATATATGGGGGCCAAAATTATCAAGTTTTGTGTCTGGTAAGAGCCCTCTTCTTGTTTCTTGATGTGTTCTCAAGTGGTGGAAGGGGCTAGGGAGCTCTGTGGGATCTTTTTCATAAGAGCACTAATCCCTTTCACAAGGTCTCCACTCTCATGACCTAACCACTTCTTGAAGGCCCCACCTCCTAAAACCATCACATTGGGCATTAGCATTTCAACATATGAATTTGGGGGGCACAGAAACATTCAGAACAAAGCACTGAGAATATAACTCTTATTTTTTCCATTTTACTCTAGATGTCTTTTATTTCTTTTTCATACCTGGTTGCACTGGCTAGATCCTTCAGTGCAGTGTTGAACAGAAGTTGTAGGAGTGGATATCCCTGTACTGTTACTGATTTTAGGAGGAAAGCATTCAGTCTTTCACCATTAAGTCTGATGTTTTCAATAAATGACTTTTCTCAGGTTGGGGAATCTGAGAACTAGGATAGAGATTCCCTTCTATCCTAGTTTCTGAGAGCTTTTTTTTTAAAATCAGGAATGGATGTTACAAAATTTTTCATGTCTATTGACACAGATCCATATTGATCACATGGATTTTCTTTTCTAACTTCTTAATATGGTGAATTGCATTGATGGTTTTTTTCATGGTAAACCAACCTTGTTTTCTTGTGATAAACCCCACTTGGTCATGATGTATTATCCTTTTAATATAATGTTGGACTTAATTTGCTAAAATATTGTTTAGAATTTTGCATCTGTGTCCACAGATGCATTTTGCATATCTGTTCAGTTTGTAATTTCCTCTCTTTCTCTCTCTCACTTCTCTCTCTCTCTCTCTCTCGCTCTCTCTCTCTCTCTCTCTCTCTCCCTCTTTTTTCCCCTGGCTTTGGTATCAGGGTAATGTCAGCCTCATAGGATAAATCAAAAAAGAATTCTCTTGTCTTCAAATTTTTGGAAGCATTTGTATAGAATTAATACTATTTTTTCTCTTAAAGTGTTTGGTAGAATTTACTAGTGAAGCACCTGGACATGGAGTTTCTTTTTAAGAATTTTAACTACAATTTCAATTTATTTAATAGATGTGTGTCTATCTATGTTATCTATTTCTTCTTGAGTGAAATTTGAAAATTATGTATTTTAAGGAATTTTCCCTTTCATCTAAGTTGTTAGATTTATTAGCATAAAATTGTTCATAATATTGCCTTATTATTATTTTAATATCTGTAAAATCTAGTAATGTCACATCTTTCATTTCTTTTTTTAAATAAATTTATTTATTTGTTTTTGGCTGCATTGAGTCTCTGTTGCTGGGCTCGGGCTTTCTTTAGTTGTGGCAAGCAGGGGCTACTGTTCGTTGTGGTGCATGGGCTTCTCATTGCAGTGGCTTCTCTTGTTGCAGAACACAGGCTCTAGGCGTGTGGGCTTCAGTGGTTGTGGCATGCAGGCTCAGTAGTTGTGGCTTGTGGGCTCTAGAGTGCAGTCTCAGTAGTTGTGGAGCATAGACTTAGTTGCTCTACAGCATGTGAGATCTTCCTGGACCAGAGCTCAAACCCATGTCCCCTGCACTGGCAGGCAGATTCTTAACCACTGCACCGCCACGGAAGCCCTCTCATTTCTGATATTGATAATTTGTGCCTTTTTTCTTTTTATTGGTCAATCTAGCTAGAAGTTTATCAATTATATAGATCTCAGAGAATCAGGTTTTTGTTTCATTGATTTTCTTTATTGTTTTTCTGTTTTCTATTTCATTGGTTTTCACTTGGTCTTTAGATTTTTTTCTTTTCTTTACTTTGGGCTTAATTTGCTCTACTTATTTTAGTTTTTAAGGTTATTCACACATTTTTTCCCTAATACTGCAGTTTTTTGGTATTGATTTTCCCCTATGTACTGCTTTGGTGGCATCCCACAAATCCTGATATGTTGTGTTTCATTTCATTTAGGTTGAGTGTTCTGTAAATGTCAATTACATCCATGATGATACATGGCTTCCAAAGTTCACTGAGGTTCATCTCCATCCCAGTCAAACCTAAAGGGAGAAAGAACATGGAGAAAGGTGCTTAGGAGGTTTTTATGACATCACTTCCATTCAAATTCCATTGGTTAGAACTCAGTTGCATGGCTTCACCTAATGGTATGGGAAGCTGGGACATGTAGTCTATCTTTTTGCCTGGGAAGAAGAGGAAAATACATTTGGACAAACAGCCAGAAACCTCTTTCTATTCTCTGGAAGGGCTTGTATAAGATAAGAAATACTTGAATCATGGGTATACAGTAGAAATTGTAAAGTTATTGGGGCCTGCTGCTTTCTTTGGGGGAAATTTTGTAACTGTTGATTCAGTTTAATGGATACATGTTCATTTAAGTTTTCTATTCTTGAGTCACTTTTTGTAAGTCACTTTTTAGGTATATATAATTTAGTATAAGTTTTAGAATATACTAGCATAAATTTGTTGAAAGTATTTTCTTATTTTAATTTCTGCTGTAACTGTAATTATGTTCTTTCTTCATCTTTGAAATTGTTTACCTGTGCCTTCTTTTTTAAAATTTGGTTACTCTTACTAGAGATTTGTTAATCTTGTTAGTGTTTACCTAAAATCTTAATATTTTTTCACTAATTTCTGTTCTTTTTTATTTCCTTCCTCCACATTATTTGGACTCACTTTGCTTGTCTTTTTCAACTTGCAATTTGAATGCTAAGCTCATTTTTTTTTCAGCTGTTTTTTCCCCCTTGAATTTGTCTTCAGCTTTGTTGCTGCAAGCATTTATACGTAGTGCTTCTTTATTGATTAGTTTTATGTAATTTCCAAATTTCCATTGATTTCTTCTTTAATGCAAGAGTTATTTACAGTGTGATTAAAAATTTCCAAGTTTGGAAGCTTTTCCTAGAGTATGTATTAGGATACCAATTTAAAATTAATTGTATTATTGTCAGAGAATGTGGTATCTGTAATAATCCTATAAAACTGTTGAGTCTTGCTTTATGGCCTGGTATATGCATGCTGTTTGAGATGTCGTCTTCTTTACTATGTTAGTAATTCCTTGCAACATTATCTTATTTATTCCTTATTCTAATTATATGAGACAGGTAATATGACTCCCATTTTTCAAATAATAACATTAAAATCCAACCAGCATAATAAGTATCTCTTCCAAGTACAAGTTCTTCCTAGTTAGCTTTGTATTCAATCAGAGCAGCCACCAACTAAAAAAAAATCAGTGTGGTCAACTTTTTATACCAGTTGCATATGAGCCCTGCTTATATTTTATTATAGATTTTTAAACCTCAGGGTAAGGATTCATTCTTACTTCAGTGGCCTTTTATCCCTCCCTTGGTGTCTCAAACAGTATCTCACACATATTTGGTGTTCAATAAGCATTTGTTGAACAGGAGTAAACCTGAGACGAAATCTGGCAAAACCCTAGGAGAGTATAATAAGAAGGTATTGAATACTCAAAAAATAAAACCGAACATTCAGCTCTGGAATCACTACAAAAGATAATCTGAAACTACTCCTGACACAAATATATAGTAATTCTGGTTAAAGATATAGGCATAGATACAGATAAGTAACACCTATATCTATGTCTATATTTATCTGTATCCTTTATATATCTATATATATATCCATATGTAGATATGTTAAAGGATATGTATATATCCAGCTATAGATAGATAGGTTAAAGGATAGACAGACTGGGGAAGAGGAACCTATAAAGGCAATAACATTATAGACAGAGAAATGGGGGAAAACCAAGTGAATTTATTTTACTTATGCCAAGGTAAGAGAGAGAGAGAATTGTCAATAGTGACCTTTCAATTTTGTGTTAATGAAGTTATTAATGACCTTGGGAATAGAAGTTGTGAAGTAGAAGTTCTCATTTTAAGAGTTTTGGCTGCAAATGGTAAGAAAAGGATCAACTGTAAGCTGAAGGTTGCTGTGCATAGAGAGAAAGTTTTGTTTATCTTAAGGTGAAAGGGTCATACCCTGGTTTAGGATTTAATATCTTTGGCTAGCTATCTCTTACTCATTCTGTAAGATTTAGCTCACGTGTTCCCTAAGAAACTGTTCCTGCACTTAGTCAAAGTGCCTCTGTTGTCTTAGTGCTGTCAACAGGTCATTATCATAATAATTAGAATATTGTAATGAATATTCTGTTTAAATGTTGTACCCCCCAGATTTTAAACACTATGACCATGTGTTACTTATCTTTTAGTCACCAATTCTTTTTTTTTTTTTTTTGGTTCATTTATTTATTTATTTATTGGCTGTGTTGGGTCTTCATTGCTGCATGTGGGCTTTCTCTAGTTGTGACGAGCATGGACTACTCTTTCTTACGGTGTGTGGGCTTCTCATTGCAGTGGCTTCTCTTGTTGCAAAGCACAGGCTCTAGGGCATGTGGGCTTCAGTAGTTGTGGTGCGTGGGCTTAGTAGTTGTGGCTCATGGGCTCTAGAGCGCAGGCTCAGTAGTTGTGTCACATGGGCTTAGTTGCTCTGCAGTATGTAGTATCCTCCCGGAACAGGGATCGAACCTGTGTCCACTGCACTGGCAGGCGGACTCTTAAACACTGTGCCTCCAAAGAAGTCCTCAGTCACCAATTCTTGGCAAGGGTTTGGCAATAGAAAGTTCTCAAACCATGTTTAACTAGACTATGGAATTAAAAAAAAATTTTTCTCCTATCTTTCTACATATCTTCCTGTATCTGTATTTTGTATTTACTTCTTCCATTATAATGCTTATAATGCCTTTTTAATTGCACTTATTCTTTTCCATATATATGAACTTCCTACTAAACCACATACCTAGGGACTTCCCTGGGGGTCCAGTGGTTAAGACTCCACACTTCTACAGCTGGAGGTGCAGATTTGATCTCTGGTCAGGGAACTAAGATCCTGCATGCTAAGTGGCACAGCCAAAAGACAAACAAACAAACAAAAAACAAGAAAAACCCACATATCTTTATTATTCATTTTTCTAATACTAACATCTAGCACAGTGCCTATCGTTTATTCATTGAATAGTCAATCATTTTTGAGTAACCAGTCATTATTCTAAACTCTAAGAATACCAGAATGAAAAAGATTTATCTTCTAGTAGAAGAAGACAGACAATAGACAGTAAACCAATAAGTAAAGAAGACTATTTATTATAGCAATTATTAAAGACAAAGAAACAGGGTCATATAATAAAGTGACTGTTGAAAGTGAGGAGTCATTACTTTAGATAGCATACTTAAGGGCAGAGTCAAGAAAGTAAAACTCCTACCTCTGTATATAGTGTTTCTTTAACTTATATATTGACTAAATCTTCAAAGTGAGAGGGGATCTTAATGATCATAGTCAAGCCTTTTCATTTTACAGATTGATTTATAGATAAAGTGTGATTTGTTGGAGGTATTAGAAAATATGTAATTTGTCTTTCTCTTGGTAAAATGGTTTGGGAACTTTCTTATTCTCTATAGCTTACTGGAATTCCCCTGAGATATAAATGGCCCATTTGAACCAGGGACTAGAATAGTGTCTTACTAGTCACACCTATTTTCTTCCCTAATGGAGAATTACAAAAAGGATAAAGTGGAGGGCAGAGATCTTAAGGAGGAGGAAGCTAAGTAGGCTGTAAACACAGTGATAACAATAGAGAAGTTGCTGCAATGAGACTTGTACTAAGTAAAGGAGTCAAGAATCACATATTAAGATTAAAAATTGGGCTTCCCTGGTGGCGCAGTGCTTGAGAGTCCGCCTGCCGATGCAGGAGACGCGGGTTCGTGCCCCGTTTCGGGAAGATCCCACATGCCGCGGAGCGGCTGGGCCCGTGAGCCATGGCCGCTGAGCCTGCGCGTCCGGAGCCTGTGCTCCGCAAATGGGAGAGGCCACAACAGTGAGAGGCCCGCATAACGCAAGAAAAAATAAAATAATAAAATAAAAAAAAATTAAAAAAAAGATTAAAAATTTTTGTTCCTGATTTTTCTAAGATTCTCATGCTAGAAAATCTGAATGTACAGAAAGGTCTGGAGTGAAAAATTATAACTAAGTCCTTACCCCAGGAGTAGCCAATATTGATTATTTTCCTTATAAAAGTATGTTTCTCCCTTTTTCTTTTCTTTCTTTTTTTTTTACAAAATTGAGATCCTATTGTTTTTATATTTTTTATACTTGAGAAAACCAGAAAAGTAAAAAGAAAAGGACAAAGAATAACAAACATTCATGTAATCTTCTACTAAATAAATATTTTTTGGTCATATAAACTTCAGATTTTTAATTTTTTAAAGAAAACATTACAGGTGAAGTCTAAGTTCATATTCAATCCATAGTCCCATTCCCCTCATTTCCTCCCCAGACACAACTAATATCATGAGTATGGTGTATTTTAATACTTCTGTCACATTGTTTTTTAAAAAGTATTATTTTGTGTTTTCTTTTAATGTGCATAAATGGAATCAGTATGTGATTAGAATAATGAATATAAATTTATGGAAATGGCTTTATTCACTGAACACTAGGTTTTTCAGTTCTATTTATGATGATACATATAGATCTAGTTTCTTCATAAGTCATAAGTGTTAAACTTGAATTTTCACTGAACACATCTCTATAACCAGCACCCTGTTCAAGAAACAGTACGTTAATTACCAGCATCCCTGAACTCCCCCCTGATGTCTTTGTTTGCCTTCTTTTGCCCAACATTATTTATGAAATTTATCTACTTTGTTGTGCATAGTTGTACTCTATTCTTTCCCATTGTTATAGAACATTTTGCTTCCTTAAATCAATTAAACCTTAAAAATTTATCCATTTAACTATCAGTGGGCCTTTGGGTAGTTTCCAGTTTGTGTCTCTATCAACATACACACATAAAAGTGATACTATCAACATTCTAGCATATATTTTTAAGAAAATATATATGTACTTCAGTTTAGTATATGTCTAAGAGTTGCTGGGTCATAGGGTATGTATATGTTCAGCTTTAATAATAGTGCCAAACAGTTTTCCAGAGTATTATAGAAAATTACATTCCCACGAACAGTGAGTGAGAATTCATGTTACTCTGCCACCTTGGTAGCACTTGATATTTTCCATCTTTTTCATTTTAGGCCCTGTACAAAGTTGTCGTATTGACTCGTTGTGGTTTAATTTGCATTTCTGTGATTATTAATGAAGTTTTCATATATTTATTGGCCTTTTAGATATCCTCTTTTATGATACCCTTAAATATTTAGCATTTATACTTAACTTTTTCTAACAAAATCTAAAGATATTCATTGTCTATACTAGGTAAAGGACTTTAGCAATTTTTAAATTACTATTGTTCCCTCATTTATTGGTTGTATGCCTTTGAGCAAGTTACTTAACCTCATCTTTGCCTCATCTGTTTCCTCATCTGTAAAGTGGGGAAATAATAATACTTAGCTTATAGAGTTGTGAGAATTAAGTGAGTGAATATCTTTGAATTTAAATGAGTGAATCACTTTGAATGTGCCTGGCATATAGTACTTGCTGTATAAATATTAGATTATTATTATTGTTGTTATTGATGAAAGAATAGACAACGTATACCAAGGGGACAGAATAGAGATTCCAGAAATAGACACAAATATAGCTAATTGATTTTTGACAAGGGTGCAACAGCAACTCTATGAAGAAAGGATGGTCTTTTCATCAAATAGTGTTGGAACCACTGAATACACATATCCCCAAACAAAAAAATTCAAAAAACTTGACCCCTACCTCTCACCTTATGCAAAAATTAATTCAAAATGAATCATGAATTAAATGTAAAACATAAAACTAGAAATATTTTATAGGAAAACATAGAAGAAAATCTTTGTGACCTGTGAAGAGTTCTTAGATACAGCCCATAGCACAAACCATAAAAGAAAAAAGTTGATAAATTGGATATCACTAAAATTAAAAAGTTTTGCTCTGTGAAAGACATTATTATTAATATTGAAAAGACAAGCCACAGCTGGGAGAAAATATTTCCAAATCATGTATCTGACCAAGGATTTGTATCCAGAATATATAAAGAATTCTAAAAAATCAGCAAAGATTTGAACAAATACCTCACTGAATAAGATATATGGATGGCAAATAAGCATGTGGAAAGATGCTCAACATAATTATTCACTAAGGAAATGTAAATTAAAACAGGGGTCCCAAAAGAGAGAATAGAGAAGTAGCAGAGAAGCAATATTAAGAGATGAAGCTTAAAAAGGTTTTTTCTTTTCCTTTTTTTAAAGGAAGATACCACTGTATCTCCACAGTAAGATACCACTGTGCATCTATTAGGATGGCCGAAATGAAACTGACAATATCAAGTGGTAGCCATGATACAGAGCAACTGAAACTGTTGTATTTGCTGGTGGGAAAGCAAGACAGAACAGCCACTTTGGAAAGCAGTTTGGTATTTTCTTATAAATTTGAATATATACTTGTTATATGAGCCTACTGAAATAAAAATTTATGTTCAAATAAGCAACTGTATGCAAATGTATAGTATGCCTTATTCCTAACAACCCCAAACTAGAAACAACCAAACGTCTCTTAGCTGGGGAATAAACTGTGGTCCATCTATAAAATGGAATGTTACTCAGCAATAAAAAGAAACAAACTACTGATACATGCAACAACATGGCTGAATCTCAAATGCATTATGCTAAGTTAAAAAAGCCAGACTCAAAAGACAACATGCTGTATTATTCTATTTATACGAAATTCTGGAAAAGGCAAAAACATAAGGGTAGAGAATAGGGATGGAAAATAATCAGTGATTGCCAGCAGTTAGTACTTGACTACTAAGAGGCTGTACAAGGAAATGTTTTGGGGTGATGGAAGTTTTCTGTACCTTGGTTGTGGTGGTGATTAAATACTTTTTATATTTGTCAAAACTTACAGAACTGCACACACACACACACACACACACACACACAAGTGAATTTTAGTATGTGTAAATTGAAAAAAAGTTTTTTAAAGAAAAAACCTTCTGGGCTTCCCTGGTGGTGCAGTGGTTAAGAATCCACCTGTCAATGCAGGGGACATGGGTTCAATCTCCGGTCCGGGAAGATCCCACATGCTGCGGTGCAACTAAGCCCGTGCACCACAACTACTGAGCCTGCGCTCTAGAGCCCGCAAGCCACAACTACTGAGCCTGCGTGCCACAACTACTGAAGCCCGCGTGCCTAGAACCCGTGTTTTGCAACAAGAGAAGCCACCACAATGAGAAGCCCGCGCACCGCAACAAAGAGTAGCCCCCACTCACCACAACTAGAGAAAGCCCGCATGCAGCAATGAAGACCCAATGCAGCCAAAAATAAATTAATTAATTTTAAAAAAGGAAAAGAAAAAACCTTTTTAGGCTGTATCTCTTAATATTGCTTCTCTGCTACTTCTCTATTCTCTCTTTTGGGACCCCTATTAGTTTTATGCTATATGCTCTTAATCTTTTCCAAGTCTCATAATTTATCATATTTTTCACTTTTTTATGTAATTGGGTGAATCTCTCAGTATTATCTTTCATTTCATTAATTCTTTGTATTTAAAGAAGCATGTACTCCATCTTAAAATTTTTTAATTTATAATTTCCAAGATTCCTCCTTGGTCCTTTTTTGAGTTGGTCATTCACCACGCCAGAGGATGGCTTGGTCTGGGAATTCTCTCACTGATATTCTCTGCTTCTTCTAGTTAATTCCTGCTTCCAGATCTCGGTGCCTAGCGTGCTTGTGGTTTTAGCTCCTACTCACTTCTGTGTGTTGCTTTTCTTCTTTTGTCCATAGAAATATTTATCTTATATTTGAGCACAACTATATCTTTAAATTTTTAAAAAATATGTGTTTTATCTATCTTGCTTTTATCATTTAATCCTATCTGATATTTCCTTATACCACTATGCCTGTGATCCTCAACTGAGGGCAGTTCTGCCCATCAGAATGCATTTGGTAATGCCTGGAGATATCTTTGGCACAATGCACAGGACAGTCCCTCACAACAAATTATCTGGTCCAAAATATCTATATTTTTTCATATATAAAAATGAAAATTGGAGGTGTTTTTTCGTATTGTTTCACTTTGATAAATAGCCTTATGTAACTTTTTTGTACCATTAATTAATTTCCAAATGTAGATATTTCTGAACCCAAAGAAAACTAAGATTTGAGAGGCACTGTCTAGAAAGTTGGAAATTACTTAGAAAACAACAAAAGTATGGGAACAGCAAAGTCTTTATCACGTCATACCCTTACTGGAACTTATAATATGTTCACACATAAAGATCTTCTATTAGATTTATACTTTTAAACCTCTTTTTCCCCAAATAATATACTCCTAAGTTGTCTTAAGGCCCTTCAAATTATATACAGCCTTCTGTGAAAGCTTTCTACAGCTTGCTTTATGCGTAGGTAGCAGATTTCAGAATCTTAATGAATACTTGACCAACCTAACTATAAATATCTCATGCTTTCTTTATTCTTAATTCTTTTTAATACATACCAGTATTAAGATGTTTGGTAGCGGGGATATGATAATAGAAAAAAACAGAGGACTGCCCTTAATTTGCTGCATGACCTTACTTCACTTACTGCTTTCACCTGGGCCTCAGTTTTATCATCTGGAAAATGAAGGAGTTATATGGTATAATTCCTGTAGACTTTTCCAGTTATAAACCTGTGCTATATCATTATTTACATTGTTTTTATTTAGCTTTTGGCTATGATCTTTTACTGTTCCTGAGAAAAATAGAGATAAAATGTTTAAAGATTTCTAAGATCTTTAAAAATTCCTCATATTTGTTCTTTACTACCCTCATCTACCTCCTTGTAGTGATCGATAATAAAAATCTTAAAATGGAAATCCTCTTATGTTGAAGGACTGCAAAGAATGATACTGGAAAAGTAGCATAAAAATTCACAGCTGGACTGGAAAGGGAGACAACTAGATAAGAAGAAAGGAGGTGACAGCTGTATAAAAACAAGCAAAACCTAGGTCTCAAATTTTGGTAGGGTAAAAGAAATGTGCCCTGGGCCCTAATGAGGATGAGGCCCCGAGTAATTCTCAAACTCAGGGTATTGAAATTTATTAGAATTGCAAAGGACCAGAATTCAGGTCTCCCAACCTCCTCATTAATGTTTTAAACACTACATTATGTGTTATTATGTGTTATTAATGCACATTATGTGTGTTTTTATGGGTGTCAATGTGTATTAACACACATTATATGTTATTAACACTACATTATGTGTTAAGCTATTATATCATTTAATTTTGCATAGAGAATGAAGGTATATGCCTGAAATAATCTTTTATAACTTATTTGTATAGGTTTTTTTAACCACTTAACCTATTTTCTGGCTGCTGGTGCTGTTACTTTGGGAATTGGCTTCTTTGCTTTGGCATCAGCTTTGTGGTTCCTGATTTGCAAACGAAGGTAAGATTTATTAGAACATTTGACTTTTTTTCTTTTAAAAATTCAGTGAAAGATTTTCTCAAATGTTATTAAATTTAAATAACTGCAATGATACTGATTCTGTAATTTGATTGGGGAGAGAAAACTTTACATGTTTAGAGTAGCCTGAAAAGAGAAGTCCTAGTAGTATAATAGTCTGAGCAGTATAATAGCAATCTTCATGTATTAAAATTTTAAGGAATAACGAGATCTATTTTATTCTGTAGAAGACATGGGTTTGAATTATAATAGAAGGCTAGAAAACTTTTAAAATTTTGACTACTAATTTAGAGGTTAAAAACATTACTGAGAGAAAAAGACTCTCTTTCTTTAGGAGATATTTAAGAAGAGAGCTGACAGAATCTCTGGTATGGTCTACATGTAGTCTTTTGCCAGAGATGGAAAAAAGATACTTGATACCTCAGTTCCTTTCAACCCTAAAATTTGGTGTTTTTTTATTATTTAATTGTTTCAGTATTTGCTTTGGCTCATGTTAAAAAATTTAAATTGTAATATGATCTTCCCACACACTCTTCCAGTATTCCCTATTTCAGCAAATGAATACATACTATCTATCCACTTGCACAAGTCAGAAAACCAGAAATTATTCACTAATTCATTCTTTCACAGACTTGCAGTGCCACTGGGAGGAGACAGATAATTAACAAATAAAGTAGTCAGGGAATGTCTCCTCAAGTGGGTAGTATTTAATCTGAGACTTAGATTAAAAAAAGGAAGCCAGACATGTGACGACCCTGTGGAAGAGCTTTTTTCTAAGCTATTGGGATAGCAAGTACAGAAACTCCAAGTAGGAATGATCTTGGTATTGTTCAGTAAACACAGTCAGTGTGAGTAGACTGAAGTGAGAGGGAAATAATGATGAGATTAAAGAGGGAGATAAGGGTCAAATCACACAGGAATTTGTAGGCTAAAACATGGATTTTAGATTTTACTATTTCTGCCACCAGAAGGTTTTAAGCAAGGGAATGACATTATCATCATAATATTAGCTAAAATCAAGGGTTTACTGCACACTGTTCTAAGTGCTTTATATGTAGTTATCTCATTTAGACCTCATAACTGCCCCATGAAGTTGCAGTAATATTATTCCCATTTTAAAGACTACAATGCCACCTATAGATGATTTACATTTTAATAACACTTAAAAATTTGAGATATAGATTTTAAATATATGATGTTGAATTTCAACAAATATATTCCCATGTAATCACAACCCCAGTCAAGATATAGAAATTTTCCATCATCCTGTAAGGATCCCTCATCCTGCTTTCCAGGAATTTCTCCCCACCTTCTACCCAGAGGCAGTCATTATTCTGATTTTTATCACCATAGATTAATTTTACCTATTCTTGAACTTCATATAAATGGACTTTTTATGTCTGCTTTTTTCACTTAATGTAATATTTTTGAGATTCATTTATGCTGTTGCATTTATCTGTTCACTCTTTTGATTAATGAGCAGTATTACATTGTATGAATTTACCTCAGTTTGTTTATCCATTTTTCTGTTAATGGACATTTAGGTCATTTCCAACATTTAGCCCTTAGGAAATAAGGCTGCTGTGAACATTCTAATCTTTTTGTACATGTGCTTTCACTCCCCTTGGGTAAGAGTGGAATTGGTGGATAGTATGATTAGCTTTAAAAGAAACTGCTAAACAGTTTTCCAAGATGGATGTACATTCCCGTCAGTAATGTATGAGAGTTCTGATTCATATTTTTAAAAGATTTTTCTTATGTCTCTATGAATCCTGTATGTTAATGGAACAAGAGTAAAAGCGGAGAGGCAAGTTAGGATGCTACTGCACGGTCCATGTTAAGGATGATTGTGTCTTAGACTAATATGGAAGTAGAGGAGATGAAGAAAAGGGGCTGGACTTGGGGTAGTTTTGCAGGTAAAGTTAGCAGGTCTTATTGATGGATTAGATGAGGTAAGGAAAGATAAGTGAAATGGCAGAGTTAATGCTGATACCTACATTTTTATCATGAGCAACTGAGTAGTTAATCATGCCATTTACTGAGATGAGGAGGTGATTGGGAAGGAAACAAGTTGAGGGAGTGGTGGTAAACTAGGAGTTGTATTTTGGATGTAAGTTTGAAAGCCTATGAAACATCCAAGTAAAAATGTTAGACAGTCAGATATACATGTGTGAACTTCAGGGGAGAAATCAGGGCTGAAGATTTAGGTTATCAGTGTATAGAAGGTATATAAAATCATACAGCTGGGGGGCATGGAGTCAAGATGGTGGAGTAGGAGGACATGGAGTTTGCATCTCCTCACAACTAGGGCACCTACCAGACGCTGGTGGGTGGCCTTGGCACCCAAGGGGAAGGGGGGAACCCCCAAGTGACTAGGTAGGACGTTGGGGGAAGCAAGGGAGGAAGAGAAGTGGAGGTGAGATGGTACTGGCACCCCTGAGGGGTGGCTGGGAGAGGGAAGAGGTTCCCATGCTTGGAGAGACCCATTCACCACAAGGGGATTAACAGGGACAGGGAGAGACCCTCAGGGGTTTGGAGGATCAGAGGGGAATGTGGCCAGCATTTCCCCTGCCCACTCGGGCCCTGGGGAGCATGCTGGGGTCCCAGGTCTTGTCCTCCACCTTCTGAGGACCCTCAATCCACATGGGTCCTGGAGACATGGGAACAAGAGAAGGGAGAAGAGTAGAGGTGAACAAGGAGGGACCCTAGGGGATCTGAGGATCAGGGGGAATGGGGCTAGTGTTCCCCCCCGCCTCACTCGGGCCCCAGCAAGCCTGCTGGGGTCCCGGGCATGATCCTCCACACTCTGAGGCCAGAGGCAATCTGAGCCCCCTCCAGCCATGCTGAGCCTAAGCCCCGCCCCCCATTCCCACCAGGGCCTTTTCCAGCCATGTGCGTACTGAGCCCAGACACCACCCCCCGCCTAAACCCTGCCCCTGCTTAAGCCTCGCCCCACACAGCCAAGGCCTTTTCTGCCCGCCTTTTTTTTTCCCTACTATTGTGGTTCTGTTTTACCTTTCAGTTGTTGTTTCATTTATATTTTTATTTTTTCTAATATATCTGTTAGTGTCCTAAATTTATTTAATTTTAATTCCTTCTTATTGTTCTTTTTTTTTTTTTTGCCATGCCATGTGGCTTCCAGGATCTTGGTTCATGGGCTGGGGGGGGGGGTCGGGTCTGAGCTCCTGTGGTGGGATCACCAAGTCTGAACCACTGGACTAACAGAGAACCTCAGACCCCAGGGAATATTAAGCAGATCGAGGTCTCCCAGAGGTCCTCATCTCACCGCCAAGACCCAGCTCTACCCAAGTGTCTGCAAACTCCAGTGTTCGAAGCGTCAGACCAAACAACCAGTAAGACAGGAGCACAGTCCCACACATCAAAAAAAAAAATGATACAACAAAAAAAATATGTTACATATGGAGGTGCAAGGTAAAAACCTAAAAGGCCAAACAAATGAAGAGGAAATAGGCACCTACCTGAAAAAGAATTCAGAGTAATGATAGTAAAGATGATCCAAAATCTTGGAAATAGAATGGAGGCACAGATCAAGAAAATACAAGAAATGTATAACAAAAACCTAGAAGAACTAAAGAGCAAACAAACAGTGATGAACAACACAATAACTGAAATGAAAAATACACTAGTAGGAACCAATAGCAGAATAACCGAGGCAGAAGAACTAATAAATGAGCTGGAAAATAGAATGGTGGAAATAACTGCCAAGGAGCAAATAAAGAAAAAAGAATGAAAAGAATTGAAGACAATCTTAGAGACCACTGGGACAACACTAAATGCACCAACATTCGAATTATAGGGGTCCCAGAAGAAGAATAGAAAGAGAAAGGGTCTGAGAAAACATTTGAAGAGATTATACTTGAAAACTTCCCTAACATAGAAAAGGAATTAGCCACTGAAGCCCAGGAAGTGCAGAGAGTCCAAGGCAGGATAAACCCAAGGAGAAACATGCCAAGACACGTAGTAATCAAATTGGCAAAAATTAAAGACAAAGAAAAATTATTAAAAGCAACAAGGGAAAAATGACAAATAACATACAAGGGAACTCCCATAAGGTTAACAGCTGATTTCTCAGCAGAAACTCTACAAGCCAGAAGGGAGTGGCATGATATATTTAAAGTGATGAAAGGGAAGAACCTACAACCAAGTTTGCTCTACCCGACAAGGATCTCATTCATATTCGATGGAGAAATTAAAACCTTTATAGACAAGCAAAAACTAAGAGAGCTCAGCACCACCAAACCAGCTTTATAACAAATGATAAAGGAACTTCTCTAAGTGGGAAACACAAGAGAAGAAAAGGAACTACAAAAACAAACCCAAAACAATTAAGAAAATGGTTATAGGAACATACATATCAATAATTACCTTAAATGTGAATGGATTAAATGCTACAACCAAAAGACACAGACTGGCTGCATGGATACAAAAACAAGACCCATATATATGCTGTCTACAAGAGACTCACTTCACACCTAGTGACATATACAGACTGAAAGTGACAGGATGGAAAAAGATATTCCATGCAAAAGGAAATCACAAGAAAGCTGGAGTAGCAATATTCATATAAGACAAAATAGACTTTAAAATAAAGACTGTTACAAGCAATAAGCAAGGACACTACATAATGATCAAGGGATCAATCCAAGAAGAAGATATAACAATTATAAATATTTATGCACCCAACATAGGAGCACCTCAATACATAAGGCAAATGCTAACAGCCATAAAAGGGGAAATTGACAGTGACACAACAATAGTGTGGGACTTTAACACCCCACTTACACCAAAAGACAGATCATCCAGATGGAAAATAAGGAAATACAAGCTTTAAATGACACAATAGACCAGATAGATTTAATTGATATTTATCGGACATTCCACACGAAAGTGGCAGAATACACTTTCTTCTCAAGTGCACATGGAACATTCACCAGGATAGATCACATTTTCCAAGGTCACAA